GACCCCCAAAGGGGTCGCTACCCACAGGTTGAGAACCGCTGCTCTAGACCTTCTTTACTTCTTCCTGTGAATGTCTCAATGGCACGTTAAATTCAACTTGCCAACAACTGAACTCCCAATTTTCCCATTTAACTGTGTCATCTCCCAGTGTTCACTTCTCAGGGTAACATCTTATCTCTGTCAAGTCCCACAAGCTAAAGGTCTAACCTCTTCCCCTTATTTGCTATATATATATATATATTAATTTAAATTTCTTTCAGATCAATTCATTTGCTTTCAGTTTTGTTTGTACCATATTAGTCAAAGTTACTATTTATAATTCTGTAGACTAATGTTGAATAATTTCCAATCTGGTGTTGCCATATGTTTAATCCCTTTAATCTTCTTTCCACTGTAACTAGTGTTATTTTCAAATTGCAAATCCGATGGGCACCTCAAGCCCTCAGCCTTCACTCTCCAACATTAAAACCTGTCAGTGGTTTTCCGTTACTCAGCTTGCTCTTCCAGAGGCAAATTATGCTGCATCTCATCCTCAGGACTCCAGCATTTTTTCTTTTACTTGAATATGCTGGCAAATATTTGTGGAATGGCTTAACAAACACATGAAACATAATAAGTGCAGAGTTCAGTAAGGCTCTTGTAAATCATATAAGAACTTGTACGCAACACTGATTCTGAACAGGCAGGCTTTCCATTGCTCGGAGGTTCCAGAGGTCGGGATTGGGTGGGAAGCAGCTGAGTTCTGTGCTTCTGACTTGAGCCCACACACAGTGCCCTGCACCTCTCTCCAGCTTCCTCACCTCCTTGGATCCAAGCACTCACATCAAAATGAGGAACCCCAGGCCCGTGAGCTTAGGAGTGGTTGTAGCCTGAGGCCCACAGGAAGCTGACAGACTTGGAGATGATTCTCATGGCCAGCCCCTCCCTAGGAAGCACACAGAGATTTCTGTCTTTTTACAAACATAGGCACCAGCCCAGGGGGGCAGTATCATGGTTTTGAGTATAAACACTGCCCAGAGGTGACCCTTGAATGCCTCAGGCCCATGGCAGACCTGAAGAATGCTGTCCCCTCCACAGGGAGCAGGGCCCGTGATCTAAGCTAAGGTTGCTTTCCAGCTGTGACTTGGATTTTTCAACAGTGGGAGAGTCAGACTTCAGTGTCTGTGGACTCGATCTAACAGGCTCTGTTTAGCAGGGTGCTCAAAGTGCTTTCCCATTAAGCCCCACGGGCTGGGAAACAGGCTTGTTTTTATCTAACTCACAGGCCTGAGAGCATCTCAAAAGGAGAGCCAAATACTTTTTCTTAAAGGAGCCTTGAGAGAGGAGGAGAAAGTGTATCACCAAAGGCCCCTGACTCCCCAGTCACGCACTTGCTCCCTGCAGAGGGCATCGGAATGCTGATGTATGGGCTCCCACCACTATCTGAGCTTAGGAAAACAGAACTCGGGGTCACTGGCAAGTGTGGGGGCTCCACTACCTCTAGAATACCTCCCTCATCCCAAGAGGCATTATGGTTTTAACATCCCAAATAATTTAACATTTAGGAAATTATAGA